CGTTTTCACCCGAAACGAGGGAGGAAGTCCCGTGGACTGCGTCAACATGAATATCGTATAAAAGCCAAACTGTTGCAGTACAACGAGTTTCATCCGTCCTCATCTGGTGAGATCGACCAACGAATCTCATCTTATACACTTTCATACGAAATGGAGGTCCCCTTAAAAATGTTATTTTAGGAGATTCATCGAAACCTAATTTATCTTCGTATCTTTAAGAATATTTTCATTACAAATTTGCTGAAAATGCAACCAAATCGAGTGAAAAAGGATGGGTCAGCATTTTATATGACTTTATGTCCTGGATATTTAGGGGCAAAAATAAAAGAGATCGACTTGAATCGGTACCTGTACAGCGACTTTTCGTGGACAGCGAACTCTGGTTTCTTGCGAGCTTCCTCGTCGGTTAGATGTTTGTAGAATTCGTGCTAAAATGATAAAACCGCATTATTTGTTTGCCCTCTTAATGATGCATGAAAGCGGATCCACAGATCCGGGTGAAAATACAAATAAGCACTTACGTCTTTACGCAGATCAGCTTCGTCCAAGACCTCTGTCTTGCAGCGCCCGTTTCTTTCCGACTCTAGTTGCTGAAGAAACTGGGCAGCCTGGTGGGGAAGGAGTGAAAAAACGCATGATTCAAAGAGTACTTGGAGCAGATGGTGCGGACTAGCTCAAAGCTGTTATCAAGCCTTCGATGAAAAGACTGACATCGCAGGCCCTAGCGGAGATCCCAGGTCCGACAATGAAACTATTAAATCCCGCTCGATTACTCTTTCCACGTTTAGTGCTAAATGAAAGTTTGCTATATCGACACACATCATCGAATCGAATCTGCACCAAGTGTCTCTTGTCTCGTGCTAGGAGCAACATGTGTCGAGTGAAACCATAACGATAGGGCATTGTGCCCGAGTGGCAATTGCCTGCCACTTGACACGTCAGACCAGGTTTATAATAGTGTTGTTGGCTCTAATGGGGCCTGGATATGGTCGAGGGCAATGGATTCTCGTGAGAAGGCCATTTGGAAAGCGAGACCGAGACGAGTTCAATGTCCAAATAAGGCTTTTTCCCAATTAACAGGCCTCGGGTAATCATAGCAACCGAAGCTGACTATCGCTTCTTGGTCTGACATTGTATAGAAGGGCGTCATAAAGCGTGCTCGATCTGGAACTTCTCGGATCTATGACCACATGACCGAGTGAGGTACGTATTGTGGCTGGGAGGTGAGAGGCAGCAAGCAAATGCACGTTATGGTGCATTGTCCGAATAGCCAGCCATAGATGATGCCAAGGGAAATACATCGACAAACAATACCTTCGCTTCAAATCATCAAGCAGCGCCTAGAACACGAGCTTTCAAATCCTCCGCCAATTGTCAAAGGATCGGGAGACCAGATGATGGTGAGATGTAAAATCAGTGTGCTCGACTGCTTCGGCCCAGCCCTGAAATTCCACACGATTCATGATGCTCGTTGCAGATATGCCTATTCATGCATACTTCTCGCTTGGAAGGTATCAGTGTCGTTTCCAGAGTTTGAATGAATGAATTAGAAGGGACATGCCTAGACTAGAAGTAGGATTGAGTAGCAAAACAGAGAAACGCACACGTTTCTAGAGGTCTTTTGATATTTTTCTTCGAGGATACACATACACATGTGTATGTGAATAAATAAGTAGATATATGTCCGTGCACTTACGCCTGTGTGTATGATCAAGAGTGGAAAGAAGTTTCAAATTAGTGAATGGTGCAATGGAAAGGAGAGGAGAAATAGTTGGTGTGATGTGAACGTTTGTGGGTAGGACAAAAAGCAACAAGAAAGCAGCTGTTTGCTCGAGTAGAATGTTCCATTTCATGTAAATTCTTCGGTGAAATCCTACCAACTTTTTACTTGCATACCTCTACCTCTGTCTCCTTGTCAGACAAAGGGACATGCAACAGTGGCGTTTCAGGCAAAGACTCACCCTAACTCGTTCTTCCTTATTGCAAACGCGACCGTTCCACTGCAAGGCTGTCAGACCGAGGTCCAAAATGAAGACGTCGTCAGAACGAAGTGACTTCCGCGACCTGGTAACTTCGCTAATTGCGACATGACGGCGTCCGGTAAGTCGAAAATGAAGCAGTCGTGGCTGGTATTCAGTCGGTTCGACGTGGCGGAAAGCAGATTTGCAGCCACCGCTCAGGGTTCTGTAAGGACGTCGCAA